AAATTTGCAACTGCCAATTCGACAGTCTTTGTTTACGTTTTCATGAGCCACAGCTGATCGATCAGCTGTTCGGATGCCAGATGCACTATGACGCTCTGTGGGAACACGAGTTTCGCATCTGCGAAAAATCCCAAACGTTCCTCACAGATGCCCTGTGTGGGAAAACCATATTAGGGCCAATAAGGCGGACCCAATTTAGGGTGGACCATGCAAGAGGAAGAAGTGTAATAATAATATTAATAATAATAAAAAGTGATTAATACTAGAGAATGATAAACATGATAAATGATTAATATTAATAAAGTAAATAAGAACTGGCCTGCTCAGCCTAAGCTGGGAGTTGGTTGTTAACTTATAGGTGGTGTAGGCATCCAAAATCTTTAAAATAAGGCAGGCGGTTTATATTGGGGACATATTGGGGCAAGAATATACACAAAAAACGCCACTAACTATTTTGGGCATGCTTGTAGCTTTGGCGCTACATACATTCCATATTTCATTTGTTCCTCACCAAGTGTGTATACACTTTCGTAGTGTTGGTCAAATTTTCACTGTTAAAGCCTAGTACTCTGACGAGAAAAATCCGCTGTATAGATTTAGACAGCGGCCAAACTCCATATAAAAAAAACGGTGTCTAAAAAAGAAGAAGAAGAACTTTTAGCCACGTCGTTTTTTTTGGTACTCTGACGACGAAAATGAAGCTTGCGAAATTTGAATGGCGTTGCCAGATCAAGATAGTAAACAGCTGATATCGCGCTGTCTAAATAATTCATTTGATTTATTTAGACACCCCTAATGGAGGGAAAGTTGAAGGAAACAAGTAACATTGATAGGGGCTGTCAAGGGGAAGCCCATAATATGGAATTTAACCCACAAACGACATTTTAATGTCATATTTATTAATATTTTTAATATATTTTTTGAATATTTGTTTACAAACAGCTGTCCAGTGTGACCAAAGAAAATCCTTAAACGCCATAAAAAGTACATTTTCGTGGCGTTTCATGCTTTTCCTTAATTTTTTTTGGTCACACTAGCTCGGTGGCGAAATAAACAGCGATTCCGCTGTCTAATTTAGACAGCGGATTTTTCTCGTCAGAGTACTAGGCTTAAAAAGAAGAAATCAGAGTTGCACCGAAAAACTATCGCCTAACTATCGCCAAACAAACCGTGGTTAGATTTTAATGCGTTCTAACCGCGGTCCATTTGACAAAAATCGGAACGGCAAAACCTTATGGGCAGTTAGTTCAACGGACGGTGACCCTATAAAGAGTTGAAGGAGAAAAAGAAAACTGGCCGTCGCCCCCATACAAACGATTACTGGCTTAGGAGGAACTTTTTTAACTTTTTGTAACTCCGCGGTAACAGCCTCCCAGGCATTGTTAAGGAATATGGCATTAAAATGCTCATTGTGGGTTAAATCTCGTATTATGAGCTTCCCCTTGACCGCACTATTCAATGTCACTTTCTCCTCGCGGGCAGAAAGTTTTTCGGTCCTACAATTATTTTTTATTCCTTCAACTCTCCTTCCATTAGGGTGTAAGAATAAATCAAATGAATTCTTTTTACAGCACGATATCAGCTGTTTACTCTCTTGATCTGGCAACGCCATTCAATTTTCGGTGGTATCATTTTCGTCGTCAGAATACTAGCAAAAACGACGAGGCAAAAAGTTCTTCTTCCTTTTTCGACACCGTTTTTTTATATGGAGTTTGGCCAAAGACAATAGAGTCTATAAGATAACGATTTTTTCGTGCTGGCTTTTAAACTGGCTCTAGGCTCTCTTAAATTTTGTTCAAAAGCCAGCGAAGAGAGCGCTCTAGAGCCAGCCGTTCTCTTGTACGCATTCAGCGACGCCGCCGGGTGTTTGTGTGCAAACGGGCCTCAAGAAGGCCAATTTTTACATCTCTTTTATTTTATACACTTATTAAATTATAAATGAATATTTTATAATGTATGAATCATAATAATATATTATTAATTTATTAGCTAATTAAATTAGATAATTGTAAATACATATGTATATATATATATATGTATTTATATCAATTATTTGTATTATTTTGCATATTTCTTTAATAATATAATTATATAATATACATACATACAGATAAAAATAAAATTTAGTTAAATGATTTTCTGGAATTCAAATTTGTTTTAATTCTACGCATTGAACTTGTATACAAATACAATCCATATTTGAGATCAGCTGTTTTTTCTGCCGCTACCATCACACAGTAGCGCATTTTCTCATTTAGCGTTGCAAAAATCATATATTTTGAACTAAATAAGATAACCTAATAATTTAAATGGACAGGTAATTGTTGTAAAATTTAAATATGTTCTGCATAATGTGCCACGCCAACAAATTCGCCTTTTTACGGGGTATCAAAGTAAAAAAATATTTTTTTTAATGAAAACAATCATTTTTATAAATATATTGAGCAAATACAAAATATCGACACAATTTCATACATTTCGCTCACGGTTTTGTGGCGGTTACACTTAAGCCTATCAGCTGTTTACTATCTTGATCTGGCCATTCAATTTGAACAGCCACCATTTTCGTCGTCACAGTACCGGCAAAATCGACGAGGCACAAATTTCTTCTTCTTCCTTTTTTCACACCTTTTTTTATATGGAGTTTGGCCGCTGTAACACGTGTTACAACGGATTTTCGTCATCAGAGTACTAGGCTTAATAAATTTTAGGCATTTTATCTATCACTCGCCAAGTGTGAAGATGGCATCTGTTTTCAAAAAGCTAAGAAAAAGCTGACTCCCGTGGTAAAATTGCTAAACTGGCAACACTAAATACCCACGTGTAAAACATAAAAAGATTTAATGATAATAATCAGCATGAATATATATGTGTTCACATTGGTCGTGGCAACGACAGTCGTCCTTGATTTCGTTTTGGTAAGCAAGATTAAACTATGTATATCTTCATCATCTCGTCTCATCTTCGTGTTTTTTTTATAGATATGTCGCTTGCCGGTGGTCACGATAGGGGTTATGGCCATTTTTTTTATGATATATAAAAATCAAGACCCCACAGAAAATATCGCCGCAGCTCAACAGCCCGACGTAGATACCGCCGCAGCTCGTCCAGAGCCCGAACGGCGTACCGGCGCAGCTCTTCAAGTGCCGGAAAACATTACCGCTGAAGCTCTTGACGAGCTGCGGCGGCACCTAAACAGTAATGCCACAAATTTTATAGAGCTAGCTGGTAGAATGAGCAACCCAGGGCGGCTGTTGGTGTTCGCGCAGGGAGGGTCGGACCTGTGCGACGAGGAGTTCGACCTACACCAACTGGAAATGGAATGGTCGGAGATTTCCAGCATTAACTTTGATAATTAATTGTCTTTTTTTTTGTTATGTATTCATATGTTAATTGTATCTTTTGTGTATATATGAAGTGTATAAATATAGATTTTGTATGGTGAAAAAAGTCTTCCGTTATTTGTATTGAATTTTCAATTGTTTTCCATCCAGTTTTCATGGCCAGTCACCATCCGCTTCGCATGCATCCATACAGTCAAAAATGTTTTTATTGCGTCAAGTCGTGTGGCACCCATACATCGAGCTTCTTTTTGAATCCAAGCATCTTCAAATGGTTTATAACGGTTTGATGACTCATGCCCCGCTCTTGGCCGATGCTGCGGCTGCTACAATGCCGGTCTCTTTCGATCAATTCAGCGATTTTATGGCAATTTTCGACGACAGGCCTTCCGCAGCGTGACGCATCTTCAAACACCTCTGCACCAAAACGAAATGGAATGGTGGAAATGGAAACTGTATCGGGCCCATAAGCTGCACAAATTTTATTGGCAGCATGAGATGCATTTTTGCCATTACCGTAGTAGTACTGCAAAATATGACTATTTTCCCTTTATTTTGCTCCATGTTTGCGGCGCTATAACTCACGAACGACTAAAAGCAAACAACCGTAAATCAAACAAATGTTAGCGCGTGAAAAGAGCTTTCCAAAAATGTCTAGTTGTAATGGTTGCCTACACTGAAGAAAATTAATGACAACTATCTACAGGGCAAGGTAACTGAATCAGAGAGCAGTGTATACAGCGAAGCGGGACCCCTTGTTGTTTCTAGCTCTTCCGGGATGGGGAGGTTATTTCTGTTACTGCTCCTGACATTACACGAGAATTATATTGATATAGAATATTAAGGCTACTGCCTACAAAAAAAAAATCAGAGAAAATCTCCCAGGACAACAATAATGATGAAAAGGAAATATGTCGAGCACCAGGGTCTGTTCGTGGCGTCTACCAATGCCCTACCAATGCCTTTGTACTTCAACTGTTAGCAAAGACCCCATATTGTAGCTGATCAAAACATTTAAATCCCCAGGTCACGAGATGACTGCATCTACTCCATCATGATTTTAAAGGTTTGTTACGAAATACAGCATTATATATTTAATTAATTCCAACAATAAAGTAATTTATAGAAATTCAGGTTGATGACATGGTAAATCTTGAGTGTTCGTTCTAATTAATTTGATTCTTTTCATTTTAATTCAGAGATTTCGGTTTGGATTAATATAAGCTTTCAATGCGACGACAAATTTTACTGAACTATGACTTAATGATTAGTTTCTACTTTAGTTGTATTTTTATTTACATATTTGCTTATAAGGCTGGCGAAAAGAATATAAAACTAAGTGTTCATATGCATAATTTAATATTTAATCTTCATGATTACGTTGGTGGCACATACATCCAAATTGCGTACACTAGTCAAGAATATAGCAACAAAAGCTTTCCGAGAATTAAGATTCAGTAATGATCATTACCCACTCAATACGAGCGCTGCTAGATTAGCATTTATACGCGATTAACTTTGCAGCCCAAAACAAACAAACAGAAAAGAATAACGGACAGAGCTTACGGCTCTTCACGGTAGCAGCGGCCGTTTGGTACGATCATATCATGTCACATTAAATTATGGTGGATATATATATATACATATTGGAGCACTTACCCCATCCGATCCTCGTTGAAGGCCTTCGCGATGACGTGGATGACGAGCTGTTTACGTTTTTAAATAATGGTTAATTTAATGCAACAGAGATGAGTATTTTGATCAATCCTGCTTATCGCGTTATCTATGTCTGGTTGTGCGGGTTTGTAGTGTGCATGAACCTAGGTCAGGTTTATGCAAATCGCGTTCTCTTAGCTAGCGCATGCACTCTAGATACGCACTACAGTTTTCCGAGGCTCAAAGGAGCCAAATGCGACCGAAATTTGCTTAAGAACGCGAAGCTTTCACAATTACATGAAACCTAAACAGATCTGCGCGCCGGATCTAATGTTGGTTGTGGGTTTGGGGAGGAATTTCCTGTGATTCTTCCCAATCGTCAAGCGCTAGCCGAACCTGGTGGTCCCTGGCCACAGCGTTTGTGGTCTCCCTTCCTCTGCCGCAGCTGGCGAAGCGGAAATTTAGGTAATCCCACGCCGATGACGTAATCGGGGCTCCTGGCTACAGAGCGGATTCGCTGGCTGGGTCGCGAATGTTTTCATTTCACCTTTGGTAAGATTCGGTTACGGTTCTGTTACGGGAAGAGCTTTGAGTTGAATAAGAAAAACTATTTACCGACTGATGATGAATGCAGAATAAACTGCGGGACGCTCGCGTTTTAAGCGCAAGAAAGTTCCGAGCCAGTATGTAGGCTCTCCAAGCCGGGAAGGCACGCGGTATTTCGCTGTCTATATGGAACAAATATTAATTCAATACTGCAAAAGGCTGGGAGTTTTAAAATAATTACCCGAAACCGGTGCACGACACTGGCGGATATGAACCGGTGGATAAATGGTAGGATGCAAGCGCCGATGCCTTGTATTTAATTGGCAAAATGTACACGCGGATGTTTTAATCATGTCGGAAATGATGCTTAATCGATAATTATGTGCTGTCATCTGTCAATTTCGCACAGCTGATTGTGATCGAATAGGGCTGGAGAATACGATATGACTATCGTAAGGCGCGTATATCAATTCTATTGAGTTTTACAATTTTAACTTTTATCTCCAATGCTGCCCATTACATAGTGTAAACCGATGCGACGAAAAATATCGAAGACGGGAACCGGCGGCCAACCATCGATACTATCGGAAGTTCCATCGATTTTTTTGCAGCTCTATAGGATTATTATTTATTATTTTCCCGCTCTAGTTTTTTGATAGCCGGCAATGTTAAATGTAATGGAATTTCTGGTGCGCATTAAACAAATGATTTAAACATACATTCGCTTATATATAAATACTAGCAGACCCGACCCGCTTTGCTGGGCCCGAACTAATTATAGTTGACCCGGCAAACACTGTTTTGTCATGTATATTATTTGTAGGAAACAATAGAAAAACAATGAGCATATTACAGAGTTGGCACTAAATAAAATATTAAACCTTGAACCGTAATGTTTATATATAAAAATCTCCTGTCACTATGCTTGTTCGCTATAGACTCCTAAACCGCTTCCTCTGCTTGTTCAATAAAATTATACTGGCACCGAGTCGTTACGCGCTCTTCACAGTTACCCATAAAATATATTTGAAGAAATTTCGGATTATCATCAGCCATTGGCATCAATGATCCAATTTTGTGGTACAACTGGCCTTAAATTTTGAATGTAGTTTCAGAATTACGTCCATCGGAAGCAAGATCACAAATTTTAGTGGCCCCAAATGGCGTCATTTGGAAGCAAGAATTAAATTTGCGTATTTTACGCAAAAATAATTTTGAGTCATTTGAATTTCCAGCAAGAAGGGATAAGATAGGTTCTGGCGGAGCAGGTAGAGGTTGCAGCACGACTTTTCCTCCTGCGCAGCACATACCGGCAGTTTCATTCCGAAATTTAAACGCCTGACAATATTGACATACTTTGTCCATTCCACCGATAGCAATTTTTGCATGCGCAGAGTAGTTAATATTTGGTGCATATTCAAAAGCAAGACGAACGAATGATGTACGAACTAATGAGTGACTTTTCCGCTGCCTTTGTCGTCCTTGTGCTCGTACTATATCTATGTTTTGATCTCGAGCCGCCTTGATTCTCGTAATATTCTGCTGCAGACGTTCGCTACGCTGTCCCTGGGATTCTTGTGCACGACCTTCTGCTGTCCTAATTCTTTGAGCTCTATTTCTTGTATTGACTTGTTCTGGCAACTGATGAGCTCTTTTGAAACGTCTGCGTCGTGCCACTCTGCTGCTTACGTTGTTGAGATTCGGTCTTTTCGGTGGCATTTTGCTGAAAATAATATCTTACCTTCTTAATGTATTTAAAATGAGAATTTAGAGACTCACCACTTATAAACACAAAACAATAATTATAAATGACAAATTAGAATAATTGAAAAGACAATCTGGCGAAATGCGATTTATTGAAATAATTTATTACAAAATATGTAATACGTGAAGAACCGCTCGACCAATTTTGTGCAAACTCATCGACAAAATAGCCCGAGCAAAGCATAAAGATTTGGATAAATAAGCACACTAAATAAATTTCATGAGAATCGGTAAAGCCGTTTTGGAGGAGTGCATAAAAAAAGAAGATTCCTCCTTGTTCTGGCGAAACTGCCATGATGTATAAGATCTAATCTATCCTATCTCTCAAGTTGAACCAAACTGCATAAGCACACTAAATTTCATGAGAATCGGTAAAGCCGTTTCGGAGGAGTGCATAAAAAAAGAAGATTCCTCCTTGTTCTGTCGAAACTGCCATAATGAAAAAGATCTAAGCTATCCTATCTCTCAAGTTGAACCAAACTGCATATTGCCTGCAAATTTGAACGAAATCTGTTAAGCGGTTTAGGAGTCTATAGCGACCAAACATAGTGACAGGAGATTTTTATATATTAAGATATTGACTTGGCCACTGTTGATATACATTAAATTGTTTATGTTTTAAACTCAATGTCACTGAATGAGTATAACAAAAGGCGTGGACTGTGGATCTTAAAGAATGTGTACCTGCCCTGCTGTACCACATTTCATCAATAGGCCTTTTCATCAACAATTCATCAACGCGCCGACTGCGACGTCGACAGAATCGACGCTCTGCCGACTGCTACTTGAACCCGAACTCCCTTCGGATACCCGAACTCCCTTCGAGTCCGACTTGTTGGTGCATGTCAAAAAAAAACAAAACCAATTTGCATGGGCTTCGTTTATTGAAGTCCGAAACAAACTAAGAAACGCAACTGTCCCGAAAATTAGAGAGAGATGGTGATAGAGCGAAAGAAGGGGGAAAGAAATGTTCGGTCTTCGGTTTTCGGTTTCGTCTTGCTTCTTCTTATTCCCTTTGCATTACAAGTTGAAGTGTTCTCCACTGCAGAAGTGTCGTGTGTTAAAAATATTAAGAAATGAAATAATTCAATAATTACGTTCCGGGCCATATTGGAATATAAAAAAAGGTGAGTAAAAAGATTGTTCTTATTAAATAGAAGCCTATAAATGTACATATTTACATATATTATTTTATTTATTATATGTATGTATATAATATATTAATATATTATATTTATATATGTATGTATGTATTTTCTTTTCAGACTGCAGTAGTGGCCAATATATCCAGAGAAGATACTGCGCAATAAATTTGGTCTTCATGAATAAAAAGCGGAACACCAAGAATCAAAAAGACCTTAAGGCCTTTTAATATATGGATGTTTAATCTTAATTTTGTATATTTGTGTTTTAGTTTGGGTATAGAATTAGTAAGAATAAATAATATTAATAAAAATTTTTTATTTTTATATATGAAAAAAAAAATCATCAACAATTCATCGATGAATTGATGATGAAATGTTGATTAAGGCTGATGAATTGTTGATGATTCAACGATGAATCATCAACAATTCATCAACATTTCATCCGTTCATCAGTAATTCATCAACAATTCATCGATGAAATGATGATGAATTGTTGATGAATTGTTGTTGATGAATGCCTATGACATGCCCATGTTAAATTCATCAACAGTTTGTATGGCCATTCATCGATGAATCATCAACAACACCCCTTCGGCTATTGATGAAACGTTGATGAATTGTTGATGAATGGTACTGCAGGGCATGTGCAAGCCAGCGCCAGCTATAACTCCATCTTCAAATGATAATACTGATAATAAGGTGGGTTCAACTATGCTTTTTTAGATCTATTTTTTATTTTCTTATTTCCAAAGAACAAACAGAAGAAAATCAAGAAGATCAAAATGACGAGAATGGATGCTCGGAGCATTCTTGGATTTTCAGTTACAGCCGCCGAAGGTCGTATTAATGTCGGTGTTCGAGATTATGTTGATGGACCATAACCTACAATTTTATATATAAAGTTACAATTACAAAGGTCGTATGACTAAAAAATATTTAAATTTGAAACAATAAACCACGTTTAATATCATACAAGTTAAGACTTTTAATATTGCATTTAGTGGAACGAAAATAAATGTTTATTTTCTAATACAAGTCAGGAACAAGGTACTTCGGCTCGCCGAAGTTTGTATACTCTTGCAGTTTGCAAGTGGATCATTAAGAATCTATTAATTTTGTTGAAATGAAAAGAAAAACTAGAATGTTCATCAAATTAGCAGATCAACTGGAATATCCCACTTTTGATTATACCATATTTTACCGTTAATTATTCGTATAAGAAAATAATGCGGATGTTTTCTTTATTCTTTAGTTCTTTTTTACACGGTACACGTCTATACCATGATACAATCATAGTAGGTAGTCTACTCGGAAAATTTCGGTCCCTCTACAATCATAGCAATGAGTGCGAGTGAGAGGGTCTAATCTAGTAAGTGCGAGCGAAACGACATTAGGATGTGTTGATTAACCCGTATGTGGAGTATGGGGCTTTAAGTTTCTTTTTAAAATAAAAAGAGTTGAATTTTTTTTTATAATTTAATTTTTAACAGTTTAGAGTTGGAAATGAGTCGTTGTTTTTGTTTTTGTGTTGACAGTATTTTGTTCAAGTTGTTAATCCTAAAATATATTCTAATCTTAAAATAAAATGTTTTTGGAAAGTCGAGTTCCGGAGTTATTTGTGGAACAGCATCTTCGTTCAAACGCCTTTTTTTTAATTGATGCCCTCTATTTGGCGTCAATTTCCAGTGCATTTCTCGAAAATGCGTTTCATACATTTTGGAGTAATCTCCTAGCTTGCACCCCAACGATTCCTCCCATACCGCTCGTTTTTCTAGACATTTTGGTGCCCTAATAAATTTCACGCCATCGACGTGTTTACGGCACACGTGGCAAAAAATCATGTTGCACAAGGGTTAATTTGTAAAAAAAATTGTCCGTAGCCAACCTTTCAACACAAAAGCCGAACAAGCACTGAAGCAAAACCCGAGTGCTTTGACTGCCGAATAGACTACCTACTATGATTGTATCATGGTCTATACTTTTTGTTCGCTCGGATGACAGTTGCTGCACGTAGGCAGCTCTCTCTTTAACCCCGAAAACCAGCAGCGGCGCTCTCTGAGAGAGAGAGAGTAACCTGTTCTCTCAGAGAGCGTAGCTCATCGAACAGTGTGACCAGATCTTACTTATGGTAATTGACCTGCTACAATAGCTTTTTGGATGTCCTTGGTAATTTAATATTAAGTTAGCAGGCCAACTTTTTGTTTTTAAAAAATAATGAAAACTTCAGCAAAATATTGTATTTTTTCACGAATAATTAAAGGACAACAAAAAAATTAAAATGAATATAGAAAATTGAGCAATAATCACGAATAATTAACGCTAAATTCTGAGAAAACAATTTTTTATGTATTATTAAAGTTTTCAGGAGGTTCAGGAGTTAACAAGAAAGAAAGCTAACTTCGGCACGCCGAAGTTTGTATACCCTTGCAGTTTGCAATTGGATCAAAAGGAA